GTCTTTCTATGGACAACAAGCGCACTTGCATTTATTCTAGATGTTTTAGAATAAGGTGTAGGGCTTTTTAACAGTGCAATAATTGTGCTAATGATTTTGCACACGCAGTAACTCAGCATTTCACTCACAGCCCAATCCCACAAACTGCTGTGGATTTCTGGAGAGAAGGATCCTGTGCAGATGCATCTTCCAGAGAGGAAACATCTCTCCTAAGCAACTGTTTGTAACTTCACCTGCTCTCCCTGGGAATTTAAGGGCTGGATTCTGATCCCTCCCACACAAGCAGGAGCATGAAATCCCACCCGGGCATTGCTCAGAAGGCATTTAGATTTAACGCAGGCAGGATGCGTGTACCTACGTCCAGAATAAAATGAAAAATTAAAAATTGTGTTTAGTACAAATAAAACATACTTCCATTAATTCTAAAGGGAACATGCTCCCGCATTTGTTCCCGAGGCAAATTTCTCTGTTGCTCTTTAAAAAAAAGTTGTCTTTCAGGCAATGTCTCCCTCTGTGCCATTGGCTCTCAGATGGAAAATACACTCGTGGTCGGGGAAGAAGAAGTTGGATCTGTACTTACAGTTAGGTACAAGGATGAGTTCATGGCTTTCGGTGTGCAATGGGTCTCTCCCCCACCCAGAAGTGTCTCCCTGTTTACAACCCTTTCCACAAGCTCTGCCCACAATTTAGGAACTTCAGGATAAAGTTCAGCCCCAGAAAGCTGAAAACTGTGTGGAGGATTTTGTCAGGAAAAGCATCCACAAGCCAAACCACTGAGATGAGCTTTCAGAGAGAACAGGGTAGTTTATACAGAAGCATCTCTTTATGACTTTGCAGGGACTTGCTCGCAAACTCTGCTTAGGCCCTGACTTATCACAAAGGAGGATAACTTCAACTCAAATACTGCAAACCTTGGAATAACAGTATTTCTCCCCTTACATAGCAGAGAAGCCACTTCCAGAGAACTCAGATGGAGAGAACAACTACTTAAAATGATGCACCTGCAATTCAACTCTGAAGATAACACACACAATTGCAGTGCTGGCAGCAGCTCACCTGCTCAGGAGCCCTCACTTTGGTCAGACTTGCACCGCACTTCTGTCGGGGCTGTGGAAGAGCCTTTTCGGGGAACAGGATCATCACACTTTCATTCCCAGAGCTTGTCCTGGTGCTGCCTGTTCAGGAGAGCACTGGGGAGCAGTTTGACCCCCAGCTGAGATGAAATGGGACCTGCTGCTGCCCCCCCCAGCATATATCCATGTACTGTACCAACATCACCTGGCCTTACCACCTTCTCTCAGACCTCCGGGTTATGGGGCTGCTTCTCCTCAGAGCTAGTAATGCTGGCTCCTATTTGAAGGGCAAACAGGAGAAGGCAACGACACAGGTTGGCCAGATTTCACCAGAAATGTTAAGGCAGGAGTTGAGCTGAGGGTATTGAACACACCGGGCTCTCATTTGCAAAGTGATTACCCCCGGTCCAGCACGGCTGTTCCTGAGCAGAGGGGAGCATGTGTGATGCCAGAGGCTTTACTGCACGGACCAGAGGGTGGGGAGCCCCAGGGGCTCGTTTGAGCAGAGGGCAACGTGCGCGGGCCCGGGGTCTCTCCCCGGGTTGAGGACCTGCAGCAGCTGCTCCCGGCGCTTCCCCGTGTGGCTGGGAGCCAGGCATCCCACCCTACAGAAAGAGACTCTCCCTATGGTTTGCAGAACATTGATTTTTTTCCATATAGGAAGAGCAGGAGGAAAACCCTGCCCGAGTTTGAACGTATATTCCCGGCGGAGAACAAGGCAGGTGCCGCTGCCGGGACATCCCGGGGTGGGAAGGTGGGAAGCGGGCAGACAGGCAGGAGAGCAGCGGGGGAGGGAAAACCGAAGATCCCGGGAGGAGGAAAGTCTCCCCGAAGCCGCTGTTTTTGAGGGGCGAAGAGAGCAGGCCCCTTGTGACCAAACCAAACAAAAAGCCCCCTCCCGTTCCCTTTCCTCCCGTCCTGAGAGAGAACAGCGAAAGGGTCAGGGGAAGCAAACGAAAGGCTCCGGGGGGGTTTGGGGTTGTGGGGCGAAATGCACTGACCGCCCGCAAGAGCGCCCTGGCTACCGGGTGGGCGAGCCCGGAGCCCGGCGGGGTCGCCCCTCGGAGGCAGGAGGAGCCGGGAACACGGCTTGTGCCGCCGGGAGGAGGGAGAGGGATAAGCGCTCCCCCGGCTCAGGCCGGAGACCCCCGGGGCTCCGCCGGGGGCTGCAGCTCCGGGCCGTTCCGCAGCGCCCACAGAAACACAACCGGGAATAACGCAGACCCTTAATAGAAAAAAAAAAAAAAAATAAAGGAAAGAAAATACAAGTTGTCCAGACTAAAAAGACACTGAAAAGATTGAATTATTTATTTCCTCTGGGGACTCCTGTAACCATTCATTTTTAATAGAGTCTAATTAAGAGTTCCCCACTGGGTTTTACTTTTGTAAATATTTCAGATGAGCTCGAGTTTCTAGGCAAACCCTCTAGAGAAAAAAAAAAAACCAAAAAACCAAGACAAAACAAACAAAATACACAAACCCCAGCGATTTTAGGCGCAAACCTGTAACCCCCTTCCCTCCCCGTCGGCCGGGAGACAGCAGCCGGGCGGAGAGGCAACAAGTGGCCGGTGCCTCGGGAAGAGCTGCAGCCCCCGGAGCCCGGCGACACTTCCCCGGCCCCGCTCCCGCTTTTCGGGAGAAGAAAATCAAGTGGAAGGAGCAACTCTCAGCGCCCCCCGCCCCAAATAAAATATACCCGGCGCGGCAGCCGCGGAAACCCGGCGGAGAAGAGATGGGACCCCCGGCGAGGAACCCGCTGCCCCGGCTCCGCGCTCTCCCCGCCGCCGCGGAGGGACCGGCTGCGCGCCCGCCCCCGCACAAAGCAGCGCCCGGAGACCGCCGACGTGCCTGATATAAAATTTATTGATCTCTCTTCGTTCGGAAGAAGGAAGCAAACGAGGACTAGGGACATGGAGAGGGAAGGAGTGTTTTCGATGACTTTTTTTCTTGGGAAGAAATCCGGTAAACAAAACTAAAACGTTTCTTCATCTGATATGTCAAAACATGGTTCACAGTAAAATTCACAAATCAATTTACATTAAGTTTACAGTTTAAGAAAAACCAAGACACACCACTTACTATAAATAAAAGAAATGCGTTTGCGACCCGCACAGCTCTCTCCCACCTCCCCCTTTTTTTTTTTTTTTTTTAAGGAACAAAACTATAAAGTTAAAAACTCGTGAAAACTACAAATTGTGGATAGAAACCAAGCGAGACTCTAAGATGGGCAGAACAAAACACTTAAAACCACAACGACCGAGTTTAAAAACAAAAACCCGCCGGGTATTTTTTTTTCATGTCATTGCAACGCTAGAAATCAAACGGAAAGATGCAAGATCTTTTAAAAACTTTTAAGCGAATAAAACAGTGCCCAACTTAGGAGAAACCAGGAAAGAAGTTGCCGTGGTTTGAAAACTTCACAGCGGCTTCTAGGAGGCAGGAGTCGTGCTCTATTAAAAGAACAGCTTGCTCAAGTAATTTTTTTTTTTGTACAAAACAAAAAAATGAAATAGCGACACAACTAACGGATTTCCTTTTTTAAAATTTCTCCAAAAGTTAGTATTGAGTCTGCTAAACCGAGCAACACTGCCGTACGTCCCGGTGGAGTCAGGGAGCGGTGGTGGGGTTAGGGATTAAGACGGGGGGAGCCGTCCGGAGCAGCCAAGTGTTTATTATATGTGAGTTAGTGGTACGGTCCCATTGACGCCAGTCCCGGCACTCTGGTAGTGCTGGTGGACGCTGTGTAACCTGCTGCCCTGCAGGGCGGAAGGGTCTGTGGCATCCCCCCCCGGGGGCAGGTACATGCTGATCATATCCCTCAGGTCTCCCAGGCAGGCCCTCTGCGAGTGGGAAGCGATGGCCGGAGGCGGCGAGCTGGGCTCGGATTTCACCACCGAGCCCATGGAGCCCAGGCTCATGGCCGTGGAGGGCTGCTGGCCGTAGGCGGCGGGGGACATGCTGTAGGTGGAGGCGGCGTTCATGTAGGTCTGGGCCGTGGACATCATGGGGCTGTACTGCAGGCCCGTCATGTCGTAGCGGTGCATCTGCTGCAGCTGGGGACTGTTCATGCCCGGGTGCTGGCTGTAGCCCAGCTGGTCTTGCATCAGCGAGTAAGCCCCGTTCGTCCAGCCGTTCATGTGAGCGTAAGTGTCAATCCTCTGTCCCACCCCGACGGGGCTGCTCACCGCGTTGCCCCCTCCCGGGGCCAGCAGATTACCGGGCAGCGAGTATTTGTCCTTCTTCAGCAACGTCTTGGTCTTCCTCCGGGGCCGGTATTTGTAATCCGGATACTCCTTCATGTGCACGGCCCGCAGCCGCTTGGCCTCGTCGATGAAGGGCCGCTTCTCCGCGTCGCTCAGCAGCTTCCAGTCGGCCCCGAGGCGCTTGCTGATCTCCGAGTTGTGCATCTTGGGGTTCTCCTGGGCCATCTTCCGCCGCTGGCCCCGCGACCACACCATGAAAGCGTTCATGGGGCGCTTCACCCGGTCCTGGTCCGAGCCGCCTCCCGTTCCGTTGCCGGCCCCGCCGCCTCCCCCACCTTTACCGTTGCTCCCCGGAGCGGGGTTACCCCCGGCGCTGCCCGGCGTGGGCTGCGGCGTCTTAATCTCAGTCTCCAGCATGCTGTACATGGCCGGAGCCGGCAAGAGGTGCGCCAGGGTGGCGGGCAGGCGGGCACCAGACCGGGGAGAGGAAGTTAAACAACAAACAAAAAAAAAATAAAGAGGAAAAGAACCTGCCTGGGCGGCTGCTGCGGGAGGAGGAAGTTTTTTCTGCCTGGCGGGCGGAGGCGCCGCTCCCTGAGGTGACGGTGGTGCTGGTGCTGCTGCTGCTGCGGCCGCGCCTGCGGAGCGGTGCGGAGCGCTTCCCGCGGGCAGCACGGAACGATGCGCGCAGCAATCCCGGGGGGATTTGATTGACGGGCTATAAATGAGCGGGCGGCAGCCAATCAGCGAGCGGTTCCCGACAGCCCCGACGCCGGTAACCGACCAGCTGGGGGGGCGGGGGGAGCCAAAAAGTTGGCGTTTCGGGACTGGTGATACCGGACACCCCCCCGCCACCACCGCTTCGTCCCCGGGAGCCGCTGCCCCGCAACTCCGGGGCCCTGCACCTGCTCTGGGCCGGGGGAACCGGGGCTGCGCGGTGCGGAGGGGCCGGCGGGGCTGCCGCGGGGGAAGGAGCGGGGCCGGGCGGATCGGGGCTGGACGCCGGGGGGCAGGGGGAGGAGGAGTGGGGCGGGACGCTGTGCTGGAAGGGGGAAGAGTCGTGAGTTTCCCAGGCACAAAGAGATTTGGGGCTCCCTTGGTGGATGCCAAGCCTGGAGAAACCGCCTGGAAACGGAGCGACCCCGCGCCGCACGGACACCCCTCCCGCATGAAGCGGAGTGGGGAGGAACGGACAAAATCTTCCGCTTCTGAGCCCTCTCCTGAAGGAGAACGCCTACTGCCCCGCCGGGACCGGGCACGGGTGCGCTCCGTCCCGGTGGGAGAGGGGCTGTCCCGCAGCAGCACGCCGGTGCAGCCCGGGGGAGGCGGCGGTGCGGTGCGGTGCGTGCGGGGCCGGGCTGGGCTGGCTGCCGGCGGGGCGCTCCGGGCCATCCCCGCGTACGGTCCATCCCGGTGCCACTTGAGTTTTTCCATCCGGTTGCCCCAAAGAGGCTGGTGGGGGGGTGGGAGGGAGATTGCGCTTGCAAAACTCCCGAGTTTCATGGCAACAGAAAAGTTCCCTCCGAGTGAAAGGAAACTTTGGCGGAGGGTGTGTGAGCGGAGCGGAGCTCGCTGGAGCTGTCAATCACGGGCTTTCCTTTCCGTTCCTTCCCTCCCCTCCCATCTTTCCTCTCTTCCTTCCTCCCTCCCTCTTTTCCTTCCTTCCTTCCTTCCCCAGAGGCGCGGACACGGCACCTGCACGGACGGGGCTGGCAGCTTCGTGCAGGCACCGCTGGCACAGGGCTACCCGGCTGCTGTGGGGCAGAGACGGGGCGCGGGGTCCCCTCCCTGCTCCTCCCCGTCCTTCCCCCTGCACCCCGGCTGGGGAAACCGGCCGGTTCCCCCCGGCGTGGGGGAGGAGAGACAAACCGAGCCTGCAGCCCTCTCTGGGAGATGCCCCAGTGCCGGAGGAGGTGGGCAGCACCGCCGGTTCCGCCTGTGTAGCCCTCAGTAAACC